AATTTTGGAGCCTCCCAGGCGGCTTCGGACGCCCCGAAGACCGCCGTCTTGGAGCGTCGGGAAGCCGAAAAGAGGAGAACCCCAAAATTCACCAAAAACTAACAGAAATTTCCATGAGTTGTGCCTCTTGAGAGTGCTCTTGAAGGCCTCTTTGGGGCCGTCCTGGAGGCCTCTTGGGCCATCTTGAGGTCACGTCGGTCACTCTTGGAGCGCTCTTGCGCTGTCATGGGGGTCTCTGAGACGTCTCCGATGACCCCCCTGATCGCCCTAGGTGTGATGGGAAGGCTTGGCAAAACGCCCTGCGAGGCCAGGGGGGCCGCTTCGAGGCCCGTCTGGAGGGTCCCAAAGCCCCAGATCCCGGGAGTCCGTTTTTATTATTACCTAACAGCGAAGACTGATAGGTTTCTAATGGGGTCAAAAGAGAGCATCTGATGACTCCCCAGGGGGGTCTGGGCGGGAGCCAGACAAGCGAGGACCGGGCTCGTTTTAAGCAAACGGTCACACACTTCGTGCTCTTCGACCTCCCAGAACTCCACTCCCGGGCCACATTTTGGATGCCCGGAGCCAACTGTAGGCCACTTCGTGCTCTTCGACTTCCCAGAACTCCATTCCCGGGCTTTGGATGCCCGGAGCCAACTGTAGGCCACTTCGTGCTCTTCGACTTCCCAGAACTCCGCTCCCGGGCCACATTTTGGATACCCGGAGCCAACTGTAGGCCACTTCGTGCTCTTGGACTTCCCAGAGCACCATTCCCGGGCCACATTTTGAATGCCCGGAGCCAACTGTAGGCCCCCAGAGCATCCAATCCCCGGAAAAATTCGTCGGTCCCGGAAAAAATGTGGATCCACATTTTTTTTGTGGATCCACACCAGGGAAACACAAAAATGTGGATCCACATTTTTTTTGTGGATTTTTGTTTTTTTCACGATTTTTTCAAGAATTTTTCACGAATCCTGAATTTCACGTTTTGGCGTATTACCACTACTACTACTACTACTACTACTACTACTACTACTACTACTACTACTACTACTACTACTACTACTACTACTACTACTACTACTACTACTACTACTACTACTACTACTACTACTACACTACTACTACTACTACTACTACTACTACTACTACTACTACTACTACTACTACTACTACTACTACTACTACTACTACTACTACTACTACTACTACTACTACTACTACTACTACTACTACTACTACTACTACTACTACTACTACTACTACTACTACTACTACTACTACTACTACTACTACTACTACTACTACTACTACTACTACTACTACTACTACTACTACTACTACTACTACTACTACTACTACTACTTCTATTACTACTACTACTACTACTACTACTACTACTACTACTACTACTACTGCTACTGCTACTGCTACTGCTACTACTGCTACTACTGCTACTACTGGTACTACTACTACTACTACTACTACTACTACTGCTGCTACTGCTACTGCTACTGCTACTGCTACTGCCACTGCTGCTGCCGCTGAAGTCGACGGGGTATCGGCGGACTGGCGTCAGCCTGTGGAGTAACTATTTCTCCTACTCTGTTCTTCCTTGTCCTCCTCCTCCTCCTCCTCCTCCTCCTCTTCTATGTCCTTTTCCTCCTCCGTGAAGTGGACGGGGCAGCGGCAAAATGGCGGTAGCCTGTGGACTAATGGGCAGGGTACCAGACAACTTCGGATTGATATCCCTCATTTGATCCTTCCAACGGTTCCGAATGTCCTTCCAGAAACGTTGCTTTGAGTATGCTCGAACATTTCTCCTCAGACGTGGCCTCAAGTCTCTAGAAGTGGCACCAGAAATATCGGAACAATAGCAATCGGTGGATCCAGGCGCGTTCCAAAACAAGACTTGCCTGAAGAATTGCTTAAGGTAGCTTTTACGAGACCTATTTTTTCACAATTGCCAATACCGACTGTTGCAGCTTGAAGCGCAAGCTGCCCAAAGCGAGAGCAGGCTGAGAGTTGGAGAGAGGAGATATGTGTTCATATGTGATGCTGGCGGGGGGAGGGTGGCAGGGCCAGAGGATGCACGCGAGAGTGGCAACCTAAACATCAGCAGCAACGTCGAACAAATCCCCGCACCGATACTTGTCGATCAGCACTGTACCGATCGTGCGAGGATGTGCAACGGCCCCTAACTCCGAAGCTCTTCCGATTTCCGACTCGTCTCGGTACGCCCAGTATTCAGCTGGGTTCCCATGGGTTTCTACTTGGTCCTCTGCGATATGCATAAAAAGATGGTGCTTCGGATAAAATTTCCAAAGCATCTCGCTCTTCGCTTCCATGTGGAGCTCTAAATACATCGCGAGATGCTGCTGCGCAAACAAGGCTATGCGTTTAGGCGATTCGTGAGGTCTCCAGTCCTTCAGCTCCTGATAAAAACGGCAGAGGGCATCAGTACACCACAATCTCGTTTTCTCGTGGGAGCTGCCCACCGCAAAGAACGACTCTAGGATGAACCTTGCGCACATCAGCATTCGGCGGCTCTCGGCTGCCTGTCCATCAGAGGGCTGGGTGGAATCTCGTTCGGGAGGAGGGGGGAGGAGAAGAGGTGGCGGAGGTGGGAAGGATAGACAGGGAGGAGGGGATGAGAGGGGACCAGGGAAGGGATTCGAAGGTAGAGAGGGGAAGGGCACACTCCAGATTACACAGTAAAACACATGTGTTGTTGACCCCCCGCCCCCTTGGGATGTCGGGGGGGGACAGGGGGAATGGATGATGAGCAGCAGTTGAAGCAGTAGCAGCAGAGATGTTGGTGGGACCCTTGGGCCTTCAGCTTCATTTTCGGGGCGGCCTTCTCGGTGGACCGAATCATGCCGACGGTGAGTTGGTTTATGGGGGCCTCGAGCCCTAGATGTCGAGACGCAAGTTTCATCATGTTCAGAAGCTTGTCGAGTGTAACTGTTGGCGTGGCGTATTTGCCACCAAGTTCGAGAAATTGTTCCCAGAATATGTTTCCGAGGAGGCTCTGAACGATTCCGAGATCACCAGTATGCATAAGATCGGCCACCACCATGTCTAACGTGAAACCTGGTAGCTTGAACAAACCAACCAATATTTGACGGCCTTCAAAAACATCGTTCATAAAATCCGAGTGCGTGATGAGCGTCCTACGCCACGGAGCAGTGCTGCTTGTATTTAGGATGTCTTGGCGAGTACAACGGCAGCGAAAGCAACATCGAGTTGTAGGAAGTTTACCCTGCCACCCTTGCACGCCGAGAGCCTGTTTCAGCCACGACCAATCACCCCGTGCTTGGCAACACAGGGCACGAAAACGAAGCGGCTTCCCAGCGATCGCTGCCCGAGCAGCGTCGTGCTTAAACGGTGAGTCTTGAAATTTGATACCATCATGCCTTCTGTCTGGCATACGGCCTGTAATAAACACGAGTGACACCCATCTTAAAACATCCCAAATTGGCTCAAAACTGCACCTGCCGCTGCAGCCACACATGCATATATCGCGTTTCGCAAAAACCGTAAACCAGAATCTGTGGTGTGTCGCTGGCCCCGTGCACATATTCCATAGAGTAAGATACAGGCTGTCCCTATGCTTGTAAGGTGCAGCATCCCCCCACACGCCAAACCCACCGAGAGGAGCAGCACTGTCGTTGTCAAATCTCCTGGCGCCGATCCGTTCACAAAGGTTTTTCAGTGACCTCTCTGCCGCAAGTGTACCCTCAGGGAATGTCGCCCACCGTTCCTCGTCCCCTTCTGGTATAAGCACCTCCAGTATTTCATATGGTAGTAGAAAATTGAATGGCGCTTTGTACTTGGTCGAAGACCTCTTGTCCCAGAAGACACCCTCAGCCTGGTAAACGTTGGGCATCTTGGAGCTCTTGGACAGAACCCGCATGAGATCCCTCGGGGTGGGGGCGGGAGGAGGGGGGCACAAACAAAAACAGTCTGACCCTTGGGAGAACTAAAAACATCGCATCGTCTCTGATGAACTGGTTTCTTGTCGGTCCTTTTTTTCGGTTATGGGTTCCCCTCGCCCCATTAATACCCCAAACGCCTATGAGAATTGCCACGATGTGCACCTCGAGCACCAATCTTAGCCCAATCGGGAAGATCACCGATATCAGATTGGTCGTCGCACACTGCCCTGGCCCCATCACCAACATGCGTTGCTGGAAGAGTTCCGCGAAAAAAGAGCTTGCTAAGCCAGGTCTCGGTGTTCGACCTGCTTCTGAAACAGAATGGGATGGGGTCGGGGCCCTAGGGTCCGTATGGAGGGCGTGGGGAATTGAATTAAACGCCCCCTTTGGTGGCAGTGCGATTGCCAACCCCCCCGACCTGTACCGCTTGTTAACAGTATCTTCGCGAACTTGTTCACCCTTTTCCCCATCAAGGTTGAGTCGTTGGCGAATGCCACCACGTTTCCCCCCCATGGCGGCGACATGCAGCTAAAAGACTTGGGTCGAAACAGCAATCGCACCCCCTCCTTGCACGAGAGTGTCCTCACAATCCACGCTATCCATCCCCGGATGCTACAAATTCTTGGGCCTTCGGATTGCGCACGGCTCCAGGCGCCACAGCGGCTGTTTTTCTCGCGTCGGGCCACGCCGATTTCTGCCAGATCCCCTAGCTAAGACGGTCAAGCTAAGCGGAGGAGATGGGGTGAGGCGGTGGATGGGTGACGGGAGGAGATAAGGATGACAGAAAGGGGGGAGGAGAATGCGGTCGAGGAGATGGGGGAGGAGGGGGAATAGAAGGAAGAGGATGAAGAGAGGAAGAGTTTGAGTACGTAACGCAAAAGCTGTCGTCTGGGTCGATCGTCTGAAATTCAGGCGATATCCCAGTAATGATGTGAGACGCATTACACCCAGAGACAGATCTTTGAAACTAGCTAGCGCAGGCTGCCAACGTCGGGGCTTGTTACAATCCAGGAATCCTGGGGGATGATCTTTCCGAGCCTTCTGCTGGCAGCCTGCGCGCGTGAGCAAAATGCTCGACGCTGCTTACTTAGGGCCACACATGCCCTTCACGTCGGTCCAGGTCTCCTTCACGAACTTGTCGTAGCCCGTCTTGAAGGTATTCTTCTTGGAGTTGACGACATCCGTGAACTTCTCGAGCTTCTTGTCGGTCCACTCCGAGTCGGGCACGGCTTTGCACTCGTAGTACAAGGCCTCTGGGAGCGATATCGCACATGTTCCTATTCCTCCTCCTCCACCTCCTCCTCCTTCTCCTCCTCCTCATCCCCTTTGAAAAAAACAGTTTTCTGAAAAACGGTCCCAAGCTTGTTTTCGAAAGCTGCCCAAACCTTCCTCCTCCTCCGTCTCCTTCCCTCATCTTCCTCCTCTAGCTTCTCCCCCCCCCCTCCTCAATCTCCTCCTCCTCCTCCTCATCTTCCTCCTCCTCCTCCTTGTTCGTAAGGCGTTCGGACGCCAGGCCTGGAGAGGCTCGATCTTGCTCAGCTGCTCAGTGACCTGAGTCGCTACGAAGTCGCCCATGGCAGCTGGTAGGTTCTTCTTCACCAGGCGCTCCTTGACCCAGTCGACGTCGCGCATCTCGTTCAGGACCCCGTCGAAGTAGGCCTTGAGCTCCTTCAGGGTCTTGTTCTTGGAGGCCAGACGGTTACGCAAGGCATCCCGAGCTTCCCTCGCGAGTTTCTCCTCCTCGGTCTCGTCCTCAGGCGGAGTCTTGACTTTCTTGGATTTCTTCCCTTTGGGGTCGGGTGTGGTGGTGTTGTCTGCGAGCATCTGGCGCTTCAAGGAGTCGGCCATGGCACGCTGCACCTGCATGTACTGCTCTGGGTCCATCTCCGCCTCAGTGGTGACTTTGCTCTGCTCCTCAGTGCCGCTCATGCGCATCATCATCTCCCTGGTGAATTTGAACTCCTTGATGTTAGCTTTGGCAAGACTAGGATAGCGATGGGGGCGATCCTCCAAGTCACCAGATTCGCACAATATCTTGGCCGCATATGGGTCGTTCAACCATTGCGGACCTCCGAGTTGTTTCTCTGTTAACCATTCGTCGACCTCCTTCTCCGTGTCGCGTTTGGTCACTGTTGTGCTGCTCGACGCCGTGCTGCCGCCCGTGCTCGGGTCTACCACGAATTTTGCAAGCCAGTCCCTGCGGTCAGCATCCGCCTTCAGCTTCATGTAATCGTCCAGGGCACTTTTATCCGAACGCTTGGAGAGCTGGTAGCGGAGCGCGCTGAAGGTATCGTCGATTTCTTTCTTGGACAACTTCATGAAGTCATCAGCGGTAAGTGTTGAGAGATCGACGCCATGAATACTGAGACTCTCGCGAACTCGTTGGACCGCCCTCGGAATTTTCTCCGAACCCTGAACGGGAACTACTGCGGTCTCGGCCGCGACGGGGGTATCCTTGGGAGCTTTGGAACCCTTGGGTTCCTTATCCTTGGATTCCACCTTGGATTTCGCGGCTCACTTTGCTTTTGCCGCCCCCTTGGCTTTTTGCGCCATTGTCAACCGAGAGAGCTATCGCCAGTGAGGTAAGGCACGGTGGCAGCCTCAAGCAGCTTCGAGCCTAATGTGTGGCTACAAACACGCCATAATGGGCCGTGCCCAATCGTTCAGGATAAAGCTCAGCCTTCCTGCGAGCTAAGAAAGAGGAGGTCGGAGGTTGAAGAGGAGGCGGAGGTTGGTTGAGGAAGAGGAGGTAGGAGGTCGGAGGTTGAGGAGCGATGGACAAGACATCTAGGTGTTTTTTTGATTTTTCCAGGAACCTGAAGCTTTTCAGGAACCGATTCTAGTTCACCAAGGAGTCCCGAGGCCCCAGTTCCCGGACACCTGGAGGCCGGCGAGGCCGGCGAGGCCGGCTACGCCGCCAAATTCATGAAAAAAATTCATGAAAAATCAAAAAAAAAAAACAATTTCGCCTGTGACATCCTCAAAAAACCATGCCGAACAAATTCATGAAAAACAAAAAATTCAAGAAAAATTCATGAAAACCTCCAAAACATCAATTTCGCTTGCGACATCATCAAAAAATCATTCGGCTTAAATTCCTGAAAAAAATCACGAATTTCAGAAATCATTGTTTTCCTTGTGACTGTCATCAAAAACTAACTGTTCTCAAAAATTCAGGAATTTCAGAATTCCTGAAAATTTCAGGACCGAGGCTGACCCAAAGCGGTCTGAGAGCGATCCCATGGGCCAGGATCGGCCCAGATTGGGCCAGAGGAAATCGAAAGCGGGCCGAACGTCAAAATCTGACCACAAAACCAAACGCTGGTGTTTTTTTAACCCTCTCATCAGCCGAGCTGGAGACTCGTGGGCGCCCCTACATCATCTCAAGAGTTGGGCTGCTCAAGTGGCCACTGTCAGAATCATCCTCCCCATCTCCAGGAGCTCGGAAATGTGGAAATGGGTTGACGCGAGGGCCACTGCTGCTTGCGCCAGGCGTCGGCGTACGAAGCGAAGCTGCCGACGCGCCCAAATCCAGCGTGTCCGCCTCGTCCAGGGCGAGCTTGAACTCCTCTTGATCCGTCTTGTCTGGTCTTCCAGTCTTGTCTGGCCCTCACGAAGCAAGAGGGGCGGACCAGACAAGACTGGAGGACCAGACAAGGCGGATGTGGGAGATCTCAGGATCAGGATTGGAGAAGCAACGACTATGGGAGGGCGTCCGAGGAGGACTGACGAGGAGAAGGATGAGGAGGAGGAGGAGGAGGAGGAGGAGGAGGAGACTGAGGAGGAGACTGAGGATCGAGGAGGAGGAGACGATGAGGAGGAGGAAGGAGGAGGAGGTCTCCAGTCCTCCTCCTTCCTCCTCCTACCGCTGTCTCCCTCCTCCTGCCGCTTATCCTCTTGTTCAGAGATCCCTTGAGCGTCCTCCTGCTGTAGTTTCTTTGCAAGCTCCAAAGACGTGTCGTCATTGTCCGTGGAGTTTCGTTCCTGGTCGATTCGAGTTTCACCCACCTCGATGGAATTTCTTTCGATTCAGTTCTCTTTAGCGCGTCATCGAGCCTCAAGCTCGCGCCATGGAGAACGGGCCGAACGAAACGCCAACGATGTGGGTTAAATTGGAATCACCAGGTCCTCTGCTGCGGCGAACGCCTCCCTAGCGAGTTCCCCCTGCAAGATCTTCGCCAGATCCAGGTCCTTGGACTCCTGGTGGTCCCTCATGGCCTTCAGGAGCCTGCGACTAGCCATCTCCTCCTCCTCCCTGTTGATTTTCTGGTCCTCCTGGGAATCGACTGCCACGACCTCTTCCTCGTTAGGGTTCGTCTCGATGTTCGGGGGAGGCTCGCACTCAGGCCCATGGTCCACCAGCATCGGTCCTCCAAAATCTTCAGGATCCACCTCGCTGTCATGCTCGTGTGGGAACTCTGACTCAGCGGTCTCTCTGGCATCAGGCGAGAGCATTGATAACTGAAACCACTTCCCAGGACCATGTATAAATACTCGATCATCAGAAGGGGCGGGCCCTGCTCCATCATCAGAATCGGGGGGTTCTGGAAGACATCGTCGAGGTCGTTTTGCAATCGGCTGTTCTGACGAATCCCCCATGTGCTCAAACCACCCTGTCCCCAGGAAGTGTGAGCCGATTGTGATGCACGCCAGTGCTACTCTCGGGAGGCCTCCTGATTCGTGTGCAACTCTGGTGCGATAGAACTTGAAAGTGGTGATCACACGGTGGCAAAATTGCGTCGGATAGCTTCGAATGCCTGGCTGGGAGACAGCTTCGAGAGGACAGGGGGAGGGTGGCGAGGGGGAGGCGGGACCCTTGAGAGAGGAGGGAGGAGGGGTGGGAAAAGGTTGGAGTAGCGGATACCCTGGGTATTGTTGCTTGGGATATGGACGTTGGGGGTGGAGGGTAGGAGGGCAGCATAAACCCCATTGATGTTTGAACACAAGCAGGCCTTTCTTGGAATAGCGGCGATTCGAACCAACACCCTCGAGTCTCTTGTGCCCTTGGTCGCTGTGTAGACAAGGCAAGCTTAGGAGGACAATCCACCACGGTGAGCCCAGGAGGTACAGGGTCGCGTGCGGCATGCCGTCCCCACCCGAGATGAAATTACACAACGATGTAGCAGCCCCGTAAAGACCCAATGAATTAGCGAGTGCGACCGTCATCGGGAAATTGAACGCTTCACTGCCGAACGGGTTCTCTAGGATTACGTGGGCACCGCGTCGGACCCCGAGCTCCATCAGGAATAAGGTCCTTCTCAACATATTGTTAGCATCACGCACAGCTTTGACAGCGCAGTTACCTTCTACTCGGGGCCCTGGTGACCACTGCTCGGAACCAACTGCCCGAACCCATCGTTCGCTTCGGCCCCCAACCCATTGATCGAAATCAGGTGCGAACCAGCAGAGTCCAGCAGGTACGACGCTCAACACCATACGTTTTGCACGGGTCCAGCCAGAGAGACTCACTATGTCATGATCGGGCCCTTGGTTTTTATCAAGCCCTCTAGACCGCAAGCCAACATCAAACGCAATTTCAGAGAGGGTGAAGCTTCCCGCGAAAATCTCAGCCACATCCAGGTCCCGAGGAGTTGTGTCTCTCACAAGGCTACCAACAGTATCGCCATGGATTCTAAGGATTGGCGACGCGGAGACTTCAGAAATACATGTAATCAAAATTAGAAGCATCGCCTCGAGCCCATGTGGCTGAGGCTTGGGGTCGGGGCTTGGAGCGGCTGAGCGAGAGCGAGAAATTCAGACAGACCTGTTTTTTTTCCAGGGCAGGGCCAGGTCGCAGAGCCCCTACCAAAAGATCAGCAGGATGAGTGAGACGGAGCTCGAAGAGGAGGAGGAACACCACGAGGAGGAGGAGGAGGAGGAGAAGGCAGAAGGTGGGAGAAGAGGAGGAGGATGAGGAGGTGGAGGAGGAGGAGGAGAAGGAGGAGGAGGAGGAGACAGGAGGTGGGAGGAGAAGAGCCAGAGCGAGGAGGCGGTCGGCAGAGGAGCTCCTCTGCCTCCTCCTCCTCCTCCGCTGTCCTAGGACAGCGGCATCAAACTAGCCTGCAGTGCCTGCAGTGCGGCTCAAGATGTGATCACGAGCCTTGCGCGCAAAGGTCCGGAACTCCTCAATCTCGGCCTCCGTCCGCGACGAGTTGAGGTCCCACTTGTCCTCGAGGTAGCCCTGCAAGACCTCCTTGTGGCTATTGGCGCATACCTCTACGATGTAGCCCTCCTTCATTGCATTCGGGGAGAACGAACCCACCTGCATCATCTTCTTCTTGCCCTCGTGGTTCGTGAAGTGCACGAACACGACCTGGGCGCCACTGTGTCCAGCAGCAGTGGTAAGTCTGGTCGGCCAGATCTTCACGCGTGGAGGCTCGTCTGGCGGAGGGACGCCACCATCTGGACGATCATCAGAAGCTGCAGCTGCGGGGCGCTTGAGTGCTGCTGCTGGCTTCTTGCCCACTGGTTCCTCCGAGGATGCAGCTGGGCGTTTCATGCCGCTAGCTGTCCCCAAGCGCACAGCGCCCTCGTCGGTAAGGTGGGAGTTCGGCAAAGTCGTCTCCTCCTCGTGGTTGTCGAAGTGGATCGCGACCACGAACCCACGTGGGCCTCACGGGCGGATCAATAAAGAAAAGAGGAGGTGAAGGATCGGAGGAGGAGGAGGAGGAGGAGGAGGAGGAGGAGGAAGAGGAGGAGGAGGAGGAGGATGAGGAAGATAGGAGGGGGGTCAGGAGGAGGAGGAGGAGGAGGAGGAGGAGGATGAGGAGGAGGAGGAGGAGGAGGAGGATTAGGAGGAGTGCGGAGGGGACGGCAGCCTGAGATGAGAGTAGCAGTCATCTCGGTGCCGTCGGAAAGCAGGCTCACCGCTTTCACCCCGTCGAACCAACTTGGGGGAGGTGTCAATACTACAACAAAGCAGCCTCAGCGCAATCGCCTGGCGTCCCTCGAAGGGGAGATGGGGGGCAGGGGAGGGAGGGCGATCAGAATTCGGGCCCGAAACACGTGGAGCACCATCGACATTACCCGTAACTCTTGCCCGAGGGGGGTGGACGTTCACCCCACCGTCGACAATCCGTCTATTCAGGTTTTTCCCCCGTCGACCCTTGCCCCCCCTCGTCATTACAGGAATGCGCTAGACGATTGCGTTGCGGACCATCTGAGGTAACCCCTGATCATCCTCCCATGGGCACCGAGAGACGACACGCTTGTCATCGTCGTCACTGTCCTCCTTGCTCTCGCTCGAGTCGCCCTCGTCCCCGTCCGAGTCGTCGTCGTGGACCCCGTCCTTCTTGCGGAAAAAGGGGAAGGGGTTCGTC